ATTTGGGTGCACGACATCAAAATGGCCCACTCTCATAAAAGATAAATTAATATAAAATAGATATATCCTTCTTAAATGGGAGTGCTTGTTAAACAACCCCCTGAAAAATGAGAGGGTTGTGCAGTGCCACATAGCCCCCTAATTTTTCGGGGTTGTTCAAATGGATTTCCTCTTATTATATACTTTCCCGTCCCCTTCACCACAATCATAATGAAATTGATGGGGATTATACCATTTATAAATAAAATAATGCTCATTTGGTGGGATTAAGTCATTGTTTGATCCCCATTTTGGAAAAAATAATGAGTTTTGAATAGTAAATTGATAGAGAATGTATGGTTAAAAATTAAAGAAATGTTTTGAATTTACGTGTAATATTATTTTATTAAAGAATGTGTGATTGAAAATGAATTTTTAGAAGAATGAAAATCGAACAAGGGCTAATATTTTAATAAAAAGTAATAAAATATGTTATTGAAAAGTTTGTAGTGAAACTGGTGGTTATGAGAATACATACTATCCGTGAGATTGAGAAATTTAGGGGTGTGAGCCAAAAAATGAACAATTCATTGATCCAATCTAGTCACTGGACAATGAGTGCTTGAGCGTTGTGATCTATTATAAAGTGTGTTTGATTGACTTTATTTTTTTTTGAAAAATATCATTTTTCATCCAAATTCTTACTTTTTGAGTGTCTTATTGACAATTTTTCCATAAAAAATATTTTCGAACTTTTGGTAATGTGAACATTTTTTCATTAAAAACAAGGAAAATATTTTCTATAGGGTAGAGTGATTATTATTTTCCATGTAATTCGCTTTCTCTTATCTCTCTTATTTACTCACCAATAAAAAATTGACGAGTATAATAATTTTTAGATTGAAAATTAAATTAAACAAACACGTTTAATTAATAATTTCAAGGGAAAATTGCATCAACGGTTCTTAACCTTTTTAATTTTTGTAAACTTTATCCTAACCTTCATTTTGTAAAGACCGACTGCCACAACCACATCACAATGTGGGCATTGTCGCTTAAAGGCCGGTGCCACCACTCCAATCAAAATTTACTTTCATAAATCCGTTGAAGCATTATAATAGTTTTGATTTTGATTTTTTGATTTTAAGAGATTCAATTGTGGTTGTTGGGGGAGTTGAGAAGGTTTTTTGATCGATAATGAATGGTGAGTCTTTGCTGTGTTCTGAAATTGTAGAGAGTTTAGAAATTCCAGACAATTTGACATTCATTTCACTCTTGGTTGTAGGTTTTAATTGCGGAGGTTGTTGGTGGTTTGAGATGGTGATAGTAGTATACATTTAGGTGTGGCGTCGCGTGGGTGGCAATGGTGGTCACCGTTCGACTGTGGGTTTGATTTTCGAGTATGATGGTGATAGAGGTTGCCAGGACTGGTAGTGGGTGGTGACAAGGGACATTGTGGTGGTGATGGTGCTAGTGTGGGTATAAGGTGGTGGTGGTGACTGTTTCCGGTAGGTCTTGTCGAGGAAAAAAGAAGAGTTGCAGCTTTGATTGGGGAGGGAGGGGTTGGATGTGGTGCGGAGTATAAGCTGAGGTTATTTTTGTTTTTTATTTTTTTTTATAATTTTGTTTGGTATTTTATAATATGAAATTAACTAAGTTACCATTTCGCCTTTACCGAATTTGGTCAAAATCATTTTTTGGTCAACTAACGGTCAAATGGATGGATTCCATCCATCTGAACTTCACCTGCATATTTATAAAAGGTTAGGGACATTCATTGGTACAAAATAAAGGTTAGAATAAAGTTTGCAAAAATTGAAAATATTTGGGACCGCTACTGCAATTTTCCCTAATTTCAATATAAATAAGTCATAAATAATTGAATTGCCTAAAATTTATTTTCTTCTCATGTAAATCTAAAGCAACCTTACTTTTTCTTCCAAGTTCCATGCATCAAATTCCAACAACATGTGGAATTTGATGCATCTTAGTTAAATCGATTTATCAATTCAATCATCTTTTAAAACTTATACTTTAAGAAATCAAATTAAGCCCTATTTGTCTCTTTCGTCTCAAATTCATTTTTAATCACACGTTTATATGAAAAAATATTTTACACGTAAACTCAATTTTTTTATTTTATTTTATTTTTAGCCATATAATTTTTTTAAAAATTACTATTCTACAAATTATTTTCTCCTAAAAACTCTTTAAAAAGGGGGGAGAAACAGAGGTAATTAACCATTGCTTGATAATCATTATTTTCAAACTTTTTTTTTATATACTCATTTTTAATCACGCGTTCAACCAATAAATTATTTTGTATGTAAATTTAAAATTGTTCCCTATTTTAACAGCACACTTCTCTAAAAATCATTGTTCAAAATTTTATTTCTTTCTAATATTGATTGTCAAATATGGTTTAACGTCTCGTCGTGCGTAATGCAGTAATCACCATTTATAAATAATGAAACTTTTAAATCTTATTCCAAATAAGTGAATAATTATAGTATTTTGAACGGTGAATCAACCTTGAGACAGCAGACACGTGAATGTTGACTTATAAATCGTTATCAAGGTCATTTTCATAGAATATATTACTACACGTTATGAATGTTGTATTAAGCCTCAGTTTGTTTAGGATTAAAATTTTAATTTAAAATTAATATTAAATTTTAACCACGCATTTTATGAGATTCACAATTTTTCAATCACACATTTCAAAAATTTCTATAAAAAATCTAACATTAGTTTTCACCAAACATCCTCTAAATTAGATAAATTAAAATAACCCTATCTAACATTCTTGCAACGTTAGATATAAATTAGCCTCTATTTGTTATCCCCTTACTTTACATTAATTTTCATTATTTTTTCTACAATATTTATTTTTAACCACACATTATTCATTAAAAAATATTACACGCAAATAATTTTTTTCTTCTCTTTAAACCACACATTCTCCATTAATCACTATTCTATAATATATTTTTTTCAAATTAATTGGGCTCAAACAGAACTTTAGTATTCGGATTAAATTATTTAGTGGTGTCATTGGCTCACTACCTCCACACTAAATTTAAAATTCAAGATTTTGCAATAGATTTTTAATATCCTACGCAAGATTTTGAAATAAAAATTCCTTATAATATTTAATTTTGCCCCCACAATTAAAATTTTGTAAAATTTGCCCCAATGACTAGTCTCTTGACTCCGCCCTCGAGTGGTGCTTATCCATCTGTGTTCGTCTGTATAAAATAAATAAGTTATATGGGATAGATTTAAGCAATATATTTATTCACCAATCTCTAAATCAAGAAAAGATTACTTGAATTGAATTGCAAAAATTTATTCACAAGTGAATAAAAACTAAGAATTTCACTTGTAAGTTAAAATAACCTGTTACTATATAATCATTAAATGCAAACTTATTATTAAAATTTCTTATAAGTACAAAATTTATGTGAGTAAAAAAAAATTACTTCCAAGTAAAAATGAACTTATAAGTTATAAAACTGCTTATATAAGTAGAAAATCAGTTGTAAGTTAAAAATAAGTAAAATATGTACCGATAAGTAAAAAATCACTTATAAGATAACAATTAACTTATATATAAAAAAATCTCATAAGTAAAAAATCTACTTTTACAAAAAATTGAATCAGTAAAAAAAGTATTTTATAACCAAAAAATTTCTTATAATTACAAAAATCACTAATAATTATAAATTTTAACTTGAAAGTAAAATTCATATATAAATAAAAATTATTCATAAGTTAATAAAAAATTTCATACAAGAAATTATTAATATAAAAAATCAGTCCATAAGTTGCCAAAAAATATCGTTACTTTTATTGTCTTCTAATGTGGTATAACATCGAACGTCGTATTAGAACAATTGTTCATAAACCACCTTATCACAGCTTCCTAATCATATCCTCTTGATCGTATTCAACCTAATCCACTACAATGTTCCAAACTTTTCCATAGCGAGTTAATTGTTCTCTGAAATAGCTTTAGACAAAGTCATTTGTTCAAGTTTCTAATATGAAATTGTTGTTGTATTCGATCTATTTATGAAGAAAATTTGTGATTACCATGCATAATTCAAATTGTTTCTTTAGGACAAAAATTTAATTAGTCCATACATAAGTAGATAGAATATAAAATTTACATGTAACAAGTGATCCAAGTACTTATAAATTATTTTTAGACGAGTGGAAGCTAGAACGTTGAATGAATTACCCATAAAATTTTAACCATACCCTGAGGGGTAATTTAGTAGTTAGGCATTGAATTTGCTATCTAATGGTCACCGTTTGAGTCTTCTTAGTGTTATTGAGGTGAGTGTCATGCCGTAAATTTCACGATTCCATGAGATTAGTGGAAGTGCACGTAAACTGGTCCCAACGCCCATGATCATTAAAAAAATAAAAAAAATTTAACCATCAACATTTTCAATTCACCCATGTTTAACATTTTCGATATATGCTTGTCGTTGAATGATAATGATATATCTTTTTCATTAACACTCCAATAATTAACCCAAAAAAAATAAGAAAATAAAACAATTTAACCATCAACATTTTCCATTCACCCATCTATAATATTTTCGATATATGCTCGTCGTTGAATGATAATGATATATCTTTTTCATTAGCACTCCAATAATTAACCCAAAAAAAAATAAGAATAAAACTACTTTAATAGAATTATTTAACAAAAAGTTTGACATATTTTAACGTGATAGTAAATAATTGGGTGAAAAAGTAGACTATTCTTTAAATCGTTCAATGATGAAATGCTACGTAACATCACATCAAACTTTATATCAATTTAATGTTAACGTAACATGATTGAAAAAAAAACGTGATTCACAAAAATGATTCACAGAAAAGAAAGTGGCATCAAACGCGAGTAGGTTAAGAATTCTGTACTCACGCGCGTAGTGATAAGACGTGAAAATGAATGCAGCAAGCCGCGGACCTCCCAGCACTCCATTTTCTACCTTTAAATACATCCGTTCATCTCCCATTGATTCACAATTTTACAGGGTGGAAAAAAAAAAAAAATCCTCCAAAATCACCGACGTATGCGTATGCACGCACGCATAAATCTGTGTCTCTTTTGGAGAAATTAGTTTATAGTTAAAAAATGGCGAGTGGAAGAGTAGATCTGGACGGAAATCCCATAAAGCCTATTACTATTTGCATGATTGGTGCCGGCGGCTTCATCGGCTCGCACCTTTGTGAGAAGCTCATGAACGAGACGCCACACAGGGTGCTTGCTGTTGACGTGTATAATGATAAGATCAAGCAATTGCTGGAGCCTTCTGGCTCGGGTGAGCTCTCTTGGGCCGATCGCATCCAGTTCCACCGACTCAATATCAAGAACGATTCTCGCCTCGAAGGTCTAATCAAGATGGCAGATCTTGTAATCCTCCAACTTTTTTTTTTATCTTTTTATTGAATAAAATCCTGCATTTTTATTTTCTTACTGCATGAAATTTCGGATCTAGATATGAGGTTCCATGGCTTTATTTGCAATTTCTTCTGCTATTTTTTGATTTTTATTCGTATTTTTCACATTGGATTAATTTTTTCTTCTTCGAAATTTCGAACTTTCACACTGGAGCATTTTCACATTGAATTGAGATATTCGTAATTGAGTTTTTACTAATTTAATTCCGAACTTTCTTATATATCAGGAACATTAGTGGAAATTCTAGGTCTTTAGAGATCTAAAATTTCGTATTGTTTTCTTCATTTTGACATGTAGTTTGATATCTGAACCTTTTTTTTTTGGGTTCTATTTCCGGTCATTTTCTACACACAAGGTCCACTTTGGATATTTTATATTAACTTTGGAAAATCTTTTTACTGTGGAATTTTAATTCCTTTAGAGCTGTAATAGCGTGCTTGTTGAGCTTGAAATCCTTCATGGATTGTCGGTGAGACTGACTTGGATGCGAATCTTGTCTATTTCTTGTGACGTAGACAATAAATCTTGCGGCGATCTGCACTCCAGCGGATTATAACACACGTCCTCTGGATACAATCTACAGCAATTTCATTGATGCTCTCCCAGTGGTATGTGTTTACTCTTTAACATAAAGATTGTAGAAGACTTGGTTAGTGTTCACTTTTGAAATTGATGTATGATGTTATATTGGTTTGTGGAATTAGGTGAAGTACTGTTCGGAAAATAGCAAGCGTCTTATACACTTCTCCACTTGCGAAGTGTATGGGAAAACAATTGGTTGCTTCTTGCCGAAAGATAGTCCATTGCGCCAGGTAGTCTTTGCTTTCCTTTTTATTTCTCAAAACTTTCTCGTGTGGAGTCCAGATCTGTGTTTTTCTTCATCATTTATCTTTCTCACACTATTAGAATTTTTTCCATTTCCATTTTCCCTTTTGACTTCTGTGACTAATTTCTGAGAATGGAATTAATTAAATTTGAAGAGGACTAGTTTTTTGTGCAGTCTCAGTAGCTATCATGTGATATGTAGGTACCAATACTCGCACAAACAGTTATGTTTTCACCTTCTCCACGGCACATTAAATTAATCTTGCTACGAGTAGATAAGCTCCATGTTTAGTAGCCCTTTTCCGGTTTCCACAGACCAATATTTTATAAACAGGTGACTGTTTCTTTTCTGGGTAAGAGATTGTTTACGTATTTATTGAGACCATGTTTGGCTTCCATTAAATTAAATTTCATTGTTTCTTTCCTATTTTCAATCACACAATCTTCTACTAAATAATATTACATGTAAATCGAAAACTTTTCCTTCTTTTTCAACCACTCATTTTTCAAGAAAATACTATTCCACCCATTTTCATTTGAAAAAATGGGGGCCAAAAGGGGGCTGATTCAAAGCGTCCACAGTGAACCTTATGGATACTAGCTCGTTGAGATTATTGAAATAATAATATATTGGATGCGCATCATTTTCAACATTTATGGAAATGGTACGAGAATATCTTGAATTTCATATGTATATTTTTATCAAGTTCTTACTTTGCCAATCTATGAAAGTACAATATGATATATTGCTCTACTAAAGTGTAAAGAGCTCTGTGATTTGATGATTCCATATAGTACACTTTTAAAAATTAGGAGCTCGGCAATTTCAAATAGTATTCTTTTTCTTATTTTGTTCATTGAACTAGTAAATTTTATAATTAATTAAGAATAATTGAAATTTATGTGAGATTGAGAAGGAAATGGGGATAAGTTGATGATTCATAAGTGAAATGAATAATAAAATAAAAGTTGTGTCCACTGTAGTTTGAGTGCTGGACCATCTTCCTTTGCTTGCATGCTTCTTTTGTTTGTTTTCTTGTAACACTTGATAAGTTGCTAGACATGAACACTGCATTACACATTTTCCCTTGATTAGTCACAACTGTCCTCATGTGTTATTTTCCCCTGCTTCAGTGAGCTGTCTTAGACATACTTGTTTTACTTTGATCATGGCATCTAGGAGGGATTGGACCTTTTCTGTTTATACCCTGTCCTGTACCAGGTTTCTTCTGGTATTGCCTCTTTAGATAATATTTTTACAGTGAAATGCCAGACATAAACAGTATAGGACATATGCATTGATTTTTCATTGAAGGCCTCGAATGCCAACTCTACAAATCAGAGCAAGAAATTGCGTACTGTTTTGCAAGTTGTCAGCAAAGGATTCCTCAATCAATATTAACTATTCTTTTAGTACAATTTTGTTGAAAATCTTCTGAATCATCGCTCGTCATCATGCTTCAGGATCCTGCATATTATGTACTTAAGGAAGATGACTCTCCTTGCATTTTTGGTCCAATTGAGAAGCAGAGATGGTCATACGCATGTGCAAAGCAATTGATTGAAAGACTGATTTATGGTAAGCGAACCTAAATTCATAGAACTTGTTGTTTCAGTAAGGGAATCTGCATTAATTATTCCTCACTTTAAACCACAGCTGAGGGTGCTGAGAATGGTCTTGAGTTTACCATAGTAAGGCCTTTCAACTGGATTGGTCCCAGAATGGATTTCATACCCGGAATTGATGGTCCCAGTGAAGGCGTTCCAAGAGTTCTTGCCTGCTTTAGCAATGTAAGTTAATTTCTGACTTGCAGAACTGAATTCACGTCCAATGATTTGCACGCATCTTACTTTCTTTTTGGTATTCCTCGTGTTTTTTCAGAATCTCCTACGCCGCGAACCACTCAAGCTTGTAGATGGTGGCCAATCACAGAGAACCTTTATCTATATAAAGGATGCTATTGAAGCTGTTCTATTGATGATTGTACGTCTAATTTTTCCCTTAGCATTTCTGTTTTGACTTCAGCTCGTGAAATTAGGAGCTGATCGCTAGATTTTACTCAGGAAAATCCAGCCAGGGCTAATTGTCAAATATTCAACGTGGGAAACCCTAACAATGAAGTTACAGTGAGGCAGCTTGCTGAAATGATGACACAGGTGATTTGAATATCAATTATATTTGAAATGTATTTTATTCACGAATCAATTTGTAATTTTTTCTTTGCTATTCTCTATATGTATTTTCTGAACATAACTTTTGTCCATGTACTCGCAGGTTTACTCAAAGGTTAGTGGAGAATCATCAATAGAAACGCCTACAGTCGATGTTAGCTCCAAAGAGTTTTACGGTGAAGGATATGATGATAGTGACAAGAGAATCCCAGACATGACTATAATCAACAGACAACTTGGTAATGATTTGTTCTAGAAACACTTTTATTGATTAGAGCCTTGGCAAATTCTTATTTTAAGCCCTTTTTTGAGCCACATTATTTTTATAAGAATGCATTTTTAAATATTGAAAAATGTGTGGTTAAAATATAGCTTTCATTTGGCCTCCATTCTCTTTCATTTTTCCCCCTCTTATTTTCAACCATACAATCTTCCATAAGATAATATTACATTGTTTGAGCCACATTCTTTTGATAAGAATGAATTTTTGAATAGTATATTGATGGAAAATGTGTGGTTAAAAATAAGGAAAAAATTTGGATTTGGCTGAAAACTTTTCATTCTTTTTCAACTACACTTTAAAAAAAAAAAAAAAAAAACTATTCCAAACGTTACAATTTGAAAAAAAGGGGGCCAAAACGGTGGTATAAGGAAAAGTTTTGAATTTTCGTGAAATATTATTTCATTGAAGAACGTGTGGTTGAAATGATGTCAAATTACTGTTTAAAAAAAAAAAATATTATTTGAAAGAATGCGAATCAGATAGGGCCTAAATTCCAATCATGATATTTGCAGGATGGAATCCAAAGACATCTCTTTGGGACTTGCTCGAGTCGACTCTTACTTACCAACACAGAACATATGCGGAGGCTATCAAGAAGGCTATTTCAAAGCCCGTTGCAAGTTAGCAAAAAATAAAAAAATGAAAAATGCTTCGTTTTCTTAGTATGATGTGCAATTGGTGCGCCTTTAAATTCTGTATTGTATGGTTCCTTCTTGTATACGCGGTATCACTTTTTGTCTTTTATCACTACTAGTTCACAGCTTGCGGTTGTGGGGGATCTTGTGTCTAATATATTTCACTGAGCGGTACTCCATTTGGGGTTACTTTGTTGTATTTTACAAGGAAAGACAGCCTAGATAAATAGAGTTTGTTGAAAGATCATCAAAACGATAGATAAATATACAAAACTGTGAGCTAAAAGAACTGAAAAGAATGTTGTATTCTTTAGCCACCCATTATAATGATGCCCTCGTTTAAATTTCATTATATTTCATTTTTCTTTCTTCTATTTTTAACTATACAATCTTTTATAAAATAATATTACATGTAAATTGAAAATTTTTCTTTCTTTTTCAACAACAAATTAAAAAAATATTATTTCACCTATTTTCATTTTCAAAAAATGGGCCCAAATGGAGGCTGTATGATGAGTTTTCCTTAATGAAAGCAATTTTAATTTGTGATGAAGATTGCATGATTTTTACAAGTTCAACTTGTAAAGATCGTACTTCAAAACAAAAATGAGTCTCGATAAAATTGAGGTGTACGTTCTCATGAATTTACGCAACAGTTAAATAAATGATTGACATTTTCTTTGAATTATACGACTATAATAAAAAATTTAAAACTAAGCATATTTTAAAAAAAATTACATAATGATTTATATATAGATGAAGCGTCATTTAAGTGAGGATTTTTTGGTTGGAGAAATTTTAACTCAATCATATTTCATGTATATGTAATTCACTATGTGAATATATTATATACATGTAGAACAATTGTATAATTAATATTATATGTATATCTATCAAAGTATGTAAATAAAAATAAACTATTTATAGCCCTCGTTTGATATTAATTTTTCACCCAAAATATTGATTTATTGATCGTTATTTAACTATTTTAATTTTCATTTTTTACATCCTCACTCCCAAGTAAGAATCACTTTTTTCTCTAACGATAAAAAAATCAATTCTCATAATCACTATCAAACAAGTCCGTAAACTTGTATCAAAGTACATGACAACAACTTTGAAGATACATGGCGCAATTTTGCTATGAAAAATTCTTCAAGTACAGAAAAAATTTGCCAAATTTTTGAATTCTCCCTCACATGAGAGTGGGGCTCGTGTATAAAATATTGAAAATTTTTTTTTTCCACCTTTAAATGTGAGTGTTCGATAGGTACAGGGACCTATAGCAAGGTTGTTTTCCCTGTACCTATAGCAAGGTTGTTTTGCTATTCCTTCATCTTTTGTTTTTGCTTTTTTTTTTTTTTTTTTAAAAGCACCGAACTTTTTCTAGAACAGAAAATTGCCTTTTTGAGGTGACTATCAGTATCATGGGTCATTATTAGGCCAAGGCTCGAAGCTCTCTTAACCGGGTCTACCCATGAACCCGAAACCCTTCAATTCAACGGACCCGGGTCCACCAATACGACGACCCAGACCAGAGAGAAAAAGGAAGACTGCAATTAATTAATTGATTTTCAAAAGAGAATAGTAAATGAAAAATAAATACTGCTAAATTAAAGTCGCCTTCCTCCGCTGTCCGACGGCTTTTGCATTTTCTCTCTCTAGATCACACCCTCATCTCGCCACTCTCTGCATATACAAACAGCCATCTATATATAGATACACTCACACACTTTATTACGTATAAATTATGCAGTCAACAGTTTGAAGGTGGAATTTTTGAATTTGACTGAGATCTGTTGTGGTAAATTGAGGGCCGTTGGATCTGGGGGTTTGTGACTCATCTCTCGGGCTTTGGATCTAAGACAGATTGAGGATGGCGTTGTCAGGGATGAGAGGGTTGTCGGTGTTCATAAGCGATATTCGGAATTGTCAGAACAAAGAGCAGGAGCGCCTCCGCGTCGATAAAGAGCTCGGAAACATCCGCACTCGCTTCAAAAACGAAAAGGCATGCACTTAATTAGATATGCATATACGTATGTGTATATATGGATTGCTAAGTTAAAGGGGTGGTTGATTTTCTTTTTTCTTGTTAGTTGTAGAATTAAATGCAATTTGTGCTTTTGCAATCTGATATGACTTGTGAGCTGTAGACGATGAATTTTGTCTCACCTTCTTGGGATATTGTTGTTAATTCAAGTGTAAGGAAGTTGTGCTGTTAATTACCGAGGTTTGTTTCCCTAGGGGTTTTAGAACAGAGATATGCAGCGACGAAAAGATCAATGACAAGTTAAATTATGTCCACGGGGCATTCGGTGAATCAATTGTGTGAACTGAATAAGATAAATTGTTGGATGAGCACTGTTACTCTTTTGATTATATTTTGTAGTAATGGATTTGTTTCGAGCTGAGTTGAATGTTCTAGAAAAAGGATGTATGAGAATATTAGGCTTAGTACCATGGAATATTTGTTCTCGTAAATTTCTCTGGTGTATATGACAATTGGGCTAATGAGGTGGGACCAAGTTCATGTTGAACTTTCAATGCAATCATGTGCATAATACTTCAATGTTGATGCAAGATGAACCTATGTGAGCTCAATAAAAAATTATTATCTTCAAGAAAAATGATATGCTCAACAAAAATTTGTTATCTTTAATGCAAATTAGTATGTGAAGAATAATAAAGGCAGAATGATTATCAATGTTATTCGGGATGGCTAGATAAGTAAATTTGTGATAAAGATGCAGAGTCGGTGGCTGTACGAGTATAGGTTGAGCGCATGGATTAGGGTTGGACTAGGTCATATCAGTTAATATTATGCGAGTATATATTGTTCCAGCATATGTAAAAAGTGGCTGTTTTAACCTAGGATACAGAGAATCTTTATGATGAATACCAAACAGATTCAGAATTAGAAATCACAAACTATGGTTGCGGAGTCACACCTTTGAAAATTTATGAAACATCAGGGTGTGTTTGTTTCCAAAGAGAAAAACCGATGGTAAAATGAACTCCAGTGAAGGATTATTTTTCTTAGTGAAATCAATACCTCTTGCTGTGCTTATGGCTCATGCTACTGAATTTCTTGAAAGAATTGTCATGTTTTAAATTTTATTTTATTATTGTTATATATTTGCTTTTCGCATTTCTCCTTGAAAAAAACCGAGATCTAGTTAGATGTTTGAAGTTTCCACAAGATATTGACCAACAAATCGTCGATGGTCCTAGAAAGCCCTCTTTCACATCCGTATTACAGCGACTTTTTAGACCATAATCTTTAAGTTAGCCGATGATAACAGCTATAGATGGTTTATCTTTTAAAAAGTTGATAATCACAGTCAATTTCCAAGGTCTCTTGAGCTGTACGGTTGTTTAGAGAAGGTGTCTCAAACTCTTGTATAGAGACCATCCTCATGGAAGCTTTCACTGAATGCCCAAAGCTTATGCGCTTAAGTGCTACTATTAAGGTTTACGTCTCAAGGTTAATCCTAGGAGCGACCAAGGTTTAACCCTTTTATCTTGCCTTTTCTGCACATTTTATTGCCAATATAATATTTGGCTATTATTTTATAACCTATCTAGTATTTTACGTTTTTCATTTTATTTTGTTTCTTCTGCCTTCACGTGGAAAGGAAAGAGGATGGAGAAGGCACCATTGCAAGTTGACAAGGATGATAAAGGTTTAAGCCTCTGTTTGGAAAGAAATTATAAATGATTTATCAATCAATCCAGTCAAATTTTCTACCCCAACATACAGCTGCAACATTGTCGTCCTACTGTTGAACCTTTTATCGACGTACCATTTTTGCCCCTAAACCATGCATGTGTCATGGAATTGAATTAGGGGCAGAGTGGTAATTACACAAAAAGCAAATGTACGCCAGATGCAATTTGGAACAAAATTTTGTAACTTTTGGTCAAATGCAGACATGGGTGTTAGCCTTTCAACAACTGTGCCTCACTATATGGCCCCTCTACATGTACGGTTTATAATTCATTTATAAATTTGCTGTTTCCAAACAGAGGCTAAGTAACTAGAAGACACTGATAATGATAAAGAGGATTATAGAGGAATCAAACATAAACTTACTCTGATAATGATAATGGCAATGTTGTGCACCTTGCAGTTTCTTGTCTTTTTGACTCATTCCTTCATTTATGTAAATGTGAATCGACGGAATGTCAAGGATAATATTAGTCAATTTCTTGGGAATGAAGGGGTTAATATTGTCCATGGTCTTAACACTTAACACTTGCCATTCTTCATTCTCGACCATTACCCTGAACAAATACTGCATCTTTGGGTAGTATCATTATCTGCGCTGATGGAGAATTTTTGGAAACTTCAAAATGTGCTTATTAGAATGTGAATTCGCAAGTTTCAGATATTCGGTGTATGGATTACTGGTTGCAATGATTACAATAGTGGCAAAGACAATATTTGCCTTCTGTCCCATTTTTATAGAAATTTGACTTATTTGATCAAACTGGATTTTCCATAAAGCACTATTTCGCAGGTAAATGTCTTGTTTTCTAATATTTGAATCTTTGAGGCTGTATCTCTTGTGATACTTTATTGTGTTTGTGCTGTTATGTAAAATTATACAAATTCAGTATAAATTAGTTTTGTGAAAAGAAATCTGCTTTATCGAAATAGTAATACGAAGTCTATTATACAAATTTGTGAATTTTTGCCGTCTTTACCTATTATCTCTTCAAAACTTTTCTTTTATTAACCATAATTAATGGTAGATATCTTGATTGATCAGAAACTTTATATGGTTTTACTATGGGTTTAATTATCTAGGGAGCCATTTCCCTACACGAGGACGTCATTTGATTTGATAGAAAGAATAAGGCATTTAAAGCCCTAAGTTATGGATAAATTACTGCTGTAAACAATTTCCCTAATTATGCACACTCTAAATTCCAATAATGACTTAAAAACTACAATATCTATTATCGTGTGCAAGAATTTTCACTCTCCTTTTTGCTGTAAGTTCTATTTGTCAGAATGAAATTTCTGGAGTCTGTATTCATAATTGTTTTATGAAATGTGTCTTCCTAATATTAGCAGCAATACTGACTAGTTCACCTAAAGCATTTCTGTCATAGTTTTGCATTTATTCTTGATTTGTTGACCTAATGTATGTTGGACACATTTTCATTTACTTTTTGTTTTTAAATCTAAAATGTTGTCCTCATAACACTCATTCTGATAATTGCATGACTACTGCTTGTCAAATCCATACAGGCTTCCACACCTTATGAAAAGAAGAAATATGTCTGGAAGATTCTTTACATTTATATGCTGGGTTATGACGTGGACTTTGGTCATATGGAAGCTGTTTCTTTGATATCTGCTCCAAAGTATCCTGAAAAGCAGGTAATATGTGCATTCAATTTTTCCAATTTTCCTATTTGTTCTAATTTCTTTTCAACGTCGTGTTGACAGGTAGAAGCCCATACTATAGTAGTTTGCTCTATGAATGCAAGTTTATATATGCATGTTCCGTATCTAAATTGCCTAGAGGCATACGTCTTGACAATAAATTATTCAGTAGTGCTGTCAATTCATTTACTTCATATGAAAAGAAAATTATGAGAATGGACTTCGAAAGTTGAATTCGGAAATTGAGAGGTCTGTGCACCCGGCGTTCTTAGTGGTTTAAACATCATTTTGTAGTCTATTACTATTGAAGGGATTAAAGGCAAAAGATTTCATCTTTCAGCAATTCATTTATTTTAACTTTTGACATTGCACTTGTTGTGCATGTGGCTCATATAGAGTGGAACACAGGTTCTGGCACACCGTCGAACCACGTAAAATTCTTGTGTTGATTTTCGTTTTCATCTTTTTAATATTGCGCATAAAATCCAACAGCACTGCATTCTATGCTGTTTTCACATCCAACATAGTTGAAAAGTAGAAGGATTTTATGGAACAGTTAGCGAAAAAGCAGTTCCAATCTCTAGCAATGCGACAAATTTAGAACAAAGAATGGAACATAGTAAATGGAGTCCTGGAAACTGGTCATTGAAATGGAATTTGGGTTTTGAATACCTCTTTACATGTCTTGCAAACAGGCTGTCTCCATGATTTACTATAATTAAAAGACAATTTTGAGTATAATAAGATTAAATTTAAGACCTTGCCACATAGCTTTCAACTAGGCCGACCGCATAACTTTACCATACGTGAAGGTACTTCTTTGGTAATCCATGGATACACTTGCCCAGTCTCTCCGGTGGGCAATGATAATCCTTTGTGGCTCCGATGATGACTAGATCAACGCATTATTTTTGGAACAACTCACGACGAGGACTATCCATGCCATCCGGGTTGAAGCGCTTCTGACCTTAGCCTAGCCCTTCCTACAGGCGAGAATGTAGGGCATGGGAAGCAGAATGCCGAGACATTCTTATCTTGTCTCATACGGGTGCAAACCAAAGGAAAGGGGGTTGAGGCAGAAGAACTGTTAGTCGAGCAAATTGTAAGTGTAATAATATTAAGATAACTTGAACAACTGGGTTATCTACAAAATTCCTTCTTGCTTGAACGCCGTTGTACGTAATCTTGCATTAATACTACCAGTTTTCTTAAAACTGAATTGTAGGATCTTGGTTGACACACACTGCATTTATGTAAAATGGTTCCTTACCTAATGTACTCTTGAACTGGAAATACTGTACAGAGATAACTGATACATTTTAGCGAGACTTAATTTTAGTCTGCTATAAGAACCTAGGTACGATTATAGAAGACATTTGCATTTTTCTTGTGTTTATTACAATCTATGCAATTCATTGCTAGTCTATATGCTATATGCAATGACATAAAGAAATATGTTAGATTTTATGTGCAATAATAAAGGGATGAAAGAGAGAAATCAATACAAGTGAGCGAAGTGGAGATATTTTATTCAGTATGAATAACAGGGTTACATTATTAGTATTTTCACTAACCCTACCCAAGTGAAGTCCATACAAGAATTGAAAGTTCGTACAAGAAAATTTCCCTGTATTGTACCACTCTATATGAGTTACACGCACAACAATCTCCACTTTGGCGAATATAAACATTGAAAAACATAATTTGGAAAATAACACAATCTAGGACCAATGGGTTGGGACACGTCCTCTCTAACACTTAGGGATGTTAATTAAGTTCAAGCAATGCTTGAACCTATCTATTGTGATTGACTTTGTCAACATGTCTGGTGCATTCCTTGAGGTATGCACTTTAACAATAGTTCTCGTGAAGTGACCCTCTTATTTTGTGAAATTTCACATCAATGTGCTTGGTTCTTGCACGATAAATTTGATTCTTTGCAGAGAAGATGACGCTTTGACTATCATAATACAACTTCATTCTATCTTTCTTGATTTCTGATTAAGCTTGGTTCTCCGATCATTAGATACATGCACATAAATGACTTCATTACCTGTACAAATTCTCTGCAACTTTCCCAACTAGTGCTGCTCGTGGTGATCTGTTTATGACATAACATTTCACGTTAACCGTTTCTGCCCAAAAACTCTTTGGAAGCCTTGCATTTAGCCTCAAACATCTTTGCCCGTTCTGCAATTGTTCTGTTCATCTTCTTTGCTACACCATTCTGCTGTGGTGTGTTGCGAACCATATTTGTCGTTGAATATTGTACTCCTCACAAATTTTCAGAAATTGTGAATTTGTGTACTCTTTACTGTTGTGTGTCACGAGGACTTCTGCTTTCCACAATCTAAACTTGACAAACGCTTCAGACTTGTAATTTATGAAATATACTCGAACTGATTTGGAGAAGTCATCAATGAAATTAATGAAATACTGAGGTCCACCTTTAGACAACTTTCCACCGATCCACAAACATTAGAATGCACATAATCAAGAATTCTCTCTGTCTTGTGCTCTCTTATTTTGAACTGTACTCTGGACTGTTTTTCAAATACACAGCACTTGCAGAATATCTAGCTTGCATGATTTTATCCCCTTCAACAAATTCCTTTTGTGAAGCTCCACGTTCTCCTATACGCCCCAGTCCTAATGTGCTAAAGGAGAGTGTCATCTGACGTAGATTCTGTTGGAGAAACTCTACCTACAACTGTATTCCCAAGTATTTTGTAGATATTCCTTGCCAATTTCTAACCATTCATCACAATGTTAATGATAGCTACTTTTGTCACAATCAAGGCCCCACACTCCGACTTCTAAGAATAGATATTGGTTTTTAAAATGCCCTAAGAAATTAGGTTCTTTTTCAACTTTGGTACATGCCTAACATCCTCCAAGATCCTCATCACACCATTGAACATTTTAAATTTTTCGGACCCCATTTCAGTGACCTTGCATGATGCATTATTACCCATCAGAATAAATCCAAAATTACCTGAATGATCTCGGTGAGGACACATGTTATGAACAGGCTGCATCAAGTACCTTGGAGTTATTTAATTTGTCAGAATTACCTGCGGAGATTGATAGCATTTTCCATCTCCATAATTCAAGTTTCCTTCTACAACACTAGCTGAGTTTGAGGATCCATCACCTTTCCTTACCTTACTTCTTATTCGGACAGTCCTTCTTAAAGTGACCCATGTGATGGCACTTGTAGCACTTAACATTTTTCTTATTTTGGTTCCTGAATTTTGATCTCGTATTCCCTTTGTAAGATCCACCCCTATCCTTCTCTTTCTCACGATCTTGATAGCCTTTAACGATCAACTTTTCATCTTGTGCATTTTTGCCAGTACTCTGCTTTGGCTGGTTGTAGGCCAACAGGGCTGATGTGATTTATTTAATTCGAGAATATATTTACCGCACGTCAACGTGGTCACTAGTTGGTCTATGGAGGAAGAAAGCACAACAATATCATTGTCTTGTCTTCGTGATCGAACTTGATTTCAAGGCGTAACAAATCACTTATAATTTGATTGAATCATTGGTAGTTGAATCAGATTTGTACCTTCTAGCATCTTGAGGCTGTACAGTCGCTGCTTCAGATGCAGTTTGTTTGTGAGAGACTTCGACGTATAACGAATCTCCAATTTTAGTCAAACCTCCGCCCGAGTCTTAACGTTGATGACGTGATACATGATCTCATCCGCCAAATAGAGCTGAATTGTATCAACCGCTCGTGCCTCGAGCTCTTCCGAATCGGCATTTGACGTACCCTCTGGCTTTTTTCCAGATAGCGCTTTCATCATACCTTGTTGTGCCAACAAATTCTTCACCCTTCACTGTCATAATCTCAAATTTCTAGTTCCGTCGAACTTCACATTTAGTTTTGCAATTGAAGAACTTGCCGTCTAGACCTGGAGATATGAACCAGTTGTTAGATTTTGTGTGCAATAATAAAGAGATGAAAGAGAAATCAATACAAGTATTTACGTGGTTCGACGATGTGCCTGCGTCCACGAGGAACAAAGCAAAAATATCTTATTCAGCATAAATAATAGGGTTATATCATTAGTATTTATATTAACTCTAGCTCAAACCAAACTCACACAAGACTTTAAGGTCCGTACAAGAAAATAATTCTGTATCACATCGGCCTATTAGATCCAATCAACCCGTCTTCCACTCTATATGAGTCACATACACAACAAAATAAGATATTGGGTCCATTGTCCCCTCAATACCTAGAACTACTTCTTTCAATAGCTAGTGTGGACCTAAGTGAAACTTAATGTAAACTATTGTTTCTATGTGCTTAATGGCAAATCAGGCATTCCAGTATGCTGTAGGCTTTGAGATTGAATTATTAAGGTGTAAAGCTGTGAAGTAGAAAGATGGTTTTCTGTGTTGGTTGTCGTGTTACAGAAGCGACATAAGGAGTTACCTTAATTACATTTATATACGAAAAACTAGTCTGTTGACATTTCTGTTCATTTATATACACTACCTTCTGTATACTGTCCTTGTTTCCATTGCTATCTTGGTGCCAATTCCAGCAAATGATGACGCTACATCTTCAACTACTAGTTTTTTAATTAGCCTGTTAAGTGTTAATATCGAATTAGCTAGGAATATTGGTGGAAGATGACTACGAAGACTCAGAGGGTGAGCGAGTATCTAAAGGATGGGAAGTTTAGGTGTGGGGAACTTCATTTGTACATTTCTGTCCAATCTTTCTTTTGAGGATGCAGTGATGAATTTTTCCAGCCAATGGTAACTCCAAATGTAACATGTATGACTATATGTGAATACAATTATAGATGATTGGATCAATCTACTGACTTTGATGCATTGGACACTATTTATTTCTTGCTGATATATGGTAGTACATGATACTTTCCAGTCTTATTTTGGCTTGAATGAGGATATGAACTTCAACTTATTTAATAACTTTCTCTTGCTTCGATTGGCTACAGGTTGGCTATATAGTGACATCATGTTTGCTCAATGAGAATCATGATTTTTTGAGATTAGCAATTAATGCTGTGCGCAATGATATTATTGGACGCAATGAGACTTTTCAATGTCTAGCTTTGACTTTGGTATGATAATGTATCTCCCCTCTTAGATGTTTATCAGTATTAGTTTTGTGTAAGCATATTAATTTGGTAGTATGTTTATTTGATTATTTCTACATGTTATAAATACTGAAAATTTGGTGTGGTTGTTACCTTCAGTCGATCCAATCTCACTTCTATCTTTTCAGGTTGGAAATATTGGGGGCCGAGAGTTTGCAGAATCACTTGCTGCTGATGTTCAAAAATTACTTGTAAAAGAACATTTTTTTTCCTCCTTTCTTTCATTTCTCGTTTTAAATAGATTTTGGTAGGCATTAGCAGCTCTCAATTATGCTAATAGTTTTATTGCTTCAGATCTCAAGTAGCTGTAGGCCACTTGTGAGGAAGAAGGCTGCGCTGTGTCTTCTTCGCCTCTATAGAAAAAACCCTGATGTGGTGAATGTGGATGGCTGGTAATGAACTTATCTACAATCTACATTCTGTGGTAATTTTGACGGAAAAAATAATTCTTGCACGATTAAGTCGTCTTTCTCGTGTTCCAGGTCAGATCGGATGGCACAACTATTAGACGAACGAGATTTTGGTGTCCTGACGTCCTCTATGAGTCTTCTGGTTGCTTTGGTGTCAAATAATCATGAGGCATATTGGAGTTGTCTTCCTAAGTGTGTTAAAGTATTGGAAAAGCTTGCTAGAAACCAAGACGTTCCTCAAGAATACACCTACTATGGTATCCCATCTCCCTGGCTTCAGGTCCGTGCTTCTTTGTTAACTTCTTCCCTTTTTATATTTGAGGTGATGCTAATCCTGATCTTATTTCTTGCTAACATAGGTTAAATTTTTTTGTTGAGCACCTGTAATTGTACAACCTCTTAGGTTCCTACTAGATAATTCACTATTAACGATTGCTTATCAGAACATTAAAAAGAAAAGAAATAAGAAGTTGAGGCACGAGGATAAATGACTAGCACAAATTTGATACTTGAATGCCAAAATTAGAACTTGTGCTGGACCCTTTTTTGGTCAAACTGGGTTTACAAAATAAAGAAACAACAAAAGCTTCAACCCAAGAGGAAAGATGAAAGAGAGATTTTAGAAGTGAACACATGTAGATGAGACCTCTAAAACCATGGCTTGTTGCTGACCTCTGACCTGTGTTGCCAATAATTATATATTTGTGAAGTTTATCATTTCAGATTTGTTTTCCCAAACCAGACTTTGATCTTATCTATAGGAATATAAACCAAGCCTCCTTGTAACTAGCATGAAGGCAAAGTCAGGGTACGGCCCGAGGTGTGTGAACTAAAAAGCCACAAGTCTATCAGTAATGCTAAATTAACTTTTTTACTGAAAGATTTTTTTTATTAGCCCTTTAATCTTTACGAAGAATAAGATATTCTTAGTTTTGTTCTATGGTAACAAAATTGGCATGTTTGTTAAAATGGTGTATCTTCTAACAACTTTGGATTCATATGGGGTGTTGTCCCATATGGGATGGGATGGGATGGGGAGGAGGGGTCTTGGATTGAGGAGCTTTGTTTTGTTCAAGAAGTCCTTATTGGGTAAGTGGTTGTGGCGATTTGGAGTGAAAATGTAGAGTTTTTGGAGAGGAATCATAGGGGTGAAGAATTGTGTGATGGAGGGAGGTTGTTGCTCGGTCGAGGTTCGTGGTTCTTATGGGGTGGGTTTGTGGAGGTATATCCATGAGGATGGAGTGACTTTCGGGATAGATTGACTCTTGTAGTGGGAAATAGTAATAATATTAGATTATGGGATGATTGTTGGTGTGGAGATCAGCTGCTAAAAGTGGGGTTTCCTTCTTTGCATCACATTGCCTTGGTGCCTTCTGTTATGGTGAATGATGTATTAGACGTTCACAATGGGAGTTACAGCTAGAATATTACTTTTGGAAGGGGATTATTGGATTGAGAATTGGACGATTATGCACTGTTCTTGACCTCCTTGCATGAGGTGCAAATTGGGATTGAGGAGGGTGATCATAGCAAGTGGAGATTGGCACGGATGATATTTTTTCAGTTCGCACTTATTTCATATCCCTTTTGGGATCTGTAGAGAGTTCATTTCCTTGAAAGATGGTGTGAAAATGTTAATTGCCTCCATGAGTGGCATTATTACCGTGGACGGTTATGAGGGGGCAGGTTTCAGTGATGGATAATCTTCAAAGAAAAGGTTTTCGTGTAACTGAGTGGTGCTATATGCGTAAAAGGGATGAGGAGACGAGTGACCACTTGTTCATTTATTGTGATGGTGTTCGTTGGCTGTGGAACATTATTTTAGCATCTCAACATATGGATTGGGTATAGCCTAGGAGTACAGAGGATGTGTTGCGGGCATGGAGGAGAAAATTTCGTGATAAGGATAGTAAGCCTATATGTGATCTTATCTCGGGATGCATTGTATGGTGTGTGTGGAGAGGAAGGAACAGTCGCTGTTTTGAAGATCAAACACGAACGATAGAGCAAATTAGAGAACTGCTTTATCTAACTTTGTATGCTTGGTTTAATGCCGCGGCTTCTAATCATATAGAAGGGCTGCCTAATTTCTTATTATTTCTTTCTTGGTTAAATTGATAATGCACTTTCCATGTATTCTCTTTTGATTAAATAAAAGAATCTGATTATCTATAAAAAAAAAAATGATCTTCTAAAAATTTGGTTTTTTGTGGACTAGTTTGATAAATTTATTTCTAATTTTTCCATTTTTTTCTTTTCTTTGAGCATACATTGGCTTAATATATTTGGATTGCTCAAGGTGTGAAACATAATTAGATCTATGTCCAGCAGCAACTCTTTGAGTCATATTTCCTTTTTCTTCGTATCTTACTATATGAATCAGTGTTCTTTAAGATCGAATAAATATTGAAATTTCTATTTTTTTTTAATTGATAATAAGGATATTCTGGTACAATCTATACTTGTTCAGGATTCTGGTGAGCTAATGGAAAGCTTGTATTATGGCCGACGGTCATATAAATTTTGAATGTATACTTGCTTACATTGAGTAATGTTTCTTGATTTATCTTCCTTGTTTATCAAATTTCAAGGGAATACTTGTACATTCTCAATTTATATCCTCAAGCAAGCAGGATATAAGAATTATTTTCTATCGATTTTCTCTTGATTAATAAACCATATGTCTCATGCTTATATTAATCTGTCACTGCAGGTTAAGACAATGAGGGCTCTTCAGTATTTTCCAACTATTGAAGATCCAAACACTAGAAGATCATTGTTTGACGTCCGTCTCTCTTTTTAATAGTAGTTATTACTTTTTGTTATACATAGTTGCAACAGAATTATTTGTATTTAGATTTCATAAAATCTTTTGTATCCGAATTTTGTAGATTTTCAAATGCGCCTTCTTTTGGTTTACTAGGTCTTACAACGGATACTAATGGGAACTGATGTCGTGAAAAATGTGAACAAGAATAATGCATCACATGCTGTTCTATTTGAAGCCCTTGCACTTGTAAGTATGCGTTTAAACTCAGTTTTACAGTTTCAAAGTTGCTGTCTGATGTCATGTCTAATCTTCAGAATCCATGTTCAAGGAACTTAATTTCTTGTTTATTAGTTTCCCATGCATTGTTGGGGACTGATAATCTTTTTCATAGAGCAATTTATGTTTCTACATGTATACAATTTATGCACTGTTTTGCACATTGTAATGTGAAGTAGACAACAAATGGAGTAGTAGTTACATGCATTCAGTTGAAAATGATCTTTTGAGGCTCGGACAGTTTAGGCCTGGGTTTCTCTTTTTCTCGTTAAGTGCAAATTTGTAATATAATTATATTAGGAAGCAAAGATTTGTAGAAGAAAATATTTGTTTAAAAAAGAAAATATTTATTGAATGTTTAATTGACAACCAGATAGTATCTGTAATATCCTGTGGCTGTATGATACTTTTTGAAAGCAGTTTGTAGAGACCTAGTGGCGAGGTTGGCATCATTTTTGGATCCTGTGTAAACATTCTAACCCCACTATCACAAGAATATCCCCAAAAAAAATCATGCTAGTTTCTTCAAATTGGGTGCATGGGCTATAACACGGCACTTCCAGATCCAATAATGTAGCTGTAGATATAAGACTAGGAATGTGTACCATTAGCTGCAAATGCTTTAGCTTGACTATATATACTTCTTTGCCTGAAGGAAACAAGAGCATATGTTGCCATTTTGCTCACAATAATTGTTGAACCACTTGATATAAAAGTTTAAGCTGATAGAAGAGGCCACACGTATATTAAATAGTGTCTTAAGCACCCCCCCAACGTGTATGCTGTTTTTTTTTTTTTGCCATCAAAGCTTACATGCGCACAATTTTATTTTGAATGAGTGGGCCCTAAATCGACTTTTGTCTGCTTTGATATTATGTTGAATAATTTGATCTAAAAGCTCAAGTTGATACACATTGCCACATGAATATCATCTAACTAGTGTATTCAATAATAACATGCCACAACTTCCTTGTTGACGATAATTTGTTTTCCAGAAGAACCCATTCCACCCCCTTTCATTGAGTGTTGGTGTAAATGAAAGAACATTGACAATAGCTATTATATTCTCCTTTTCTAATGTCTACATCGGAAATACTTTTCTCTCATGGTTATTCTATGTTCAAATTTTTCCTGCAGGTCATGCATCTTGATGCTGAAAAAGAAATGATGTCGCAATGTGTTGCCTTGCTTGGGAAATTTATAGCTGTGCGGGAACCAAATATACGATATCTTGGTCTGGTAAGTGGTTTATTCATTATTTTTTTTTCACTTTCCTTCTCTAGTATTTTGGCCTTGTATTTTGCATCTTGCATTTAATTGCTGTGGGAGTTATATATTCGTCCATGGAATGAAGTCTAAGAAATTTAGATCATGTCTGGCAATTTTCTCAAATGGACTTTTGGATCTTAAACTCGTTTCAAAAAGTCAAGATTGCTGGGTAAGTTACTATAGATGGACTTCTATAAAGAGGTCCGTTTTTCAGAAGTCCGTCTCAAATAGTGGACTTTGGTTGCCTTTGAATTTGTCTTGCTGCACACTTGATGGATCAATAAAAATCACTTTAAAGAAAGTAAATTTGTGATCATCTATGAGATGGACTTTCAAGTAGTTGTGCTAAACACTGTCTTAATTGTCAACCCTTATATGAAGTTTATGATCTCATTGAATGATTTGCATAATGCAGGAGAATATGACTCGGATGTTGATGGTTACAGATGTACAGGACATTATTAAAAGACATCAAGCACAGATTATTACTTCCTTAAAGGACCCTGATATAAGGTTGGATATGGTCGTTTTCTGTTCATAAATTCGAAGCGTCTTGCTTTTTTGTTTCTTTCATCAACTGCTTAATTGCTATGAATAAAACCGGATCAGGCTGGCTGGTTCAAACTGGTCTTGTGACCAGTCTGGGTGAGACAATTGGATTGGTCTGCAATCAGCCTGCATACAACATGCTGAAACACCTGGTTTTTTCTTGAAAACCGGTGATCCTGATCATCAAAAAACCGGCTGTTTAGGAATATATGGAGAACAGATTTGATGGGGGAAATTTAGATGGGTGACCTTATCCGTCTCCAAACGCAATGACTACTGTGGCAAATCATTTCTTTTAGTTATTGTCTACTTCAAATTATATATTTCTTAGTTCACTGCTCTTCCATACATAAAAATATAATAAAATTATACCAGATTATCTTTTTACTTAATATCTGCCCAATTCAATACAATTATAAAATGTTATATGTACGTATTGTTGAAGTTTATAAACTATAAAAAATCATAAAACAAACAATTAAAAAATACTAGAAACTGGGAATAAAAACGTGCCTTCAACTCATAAGGGAAACATTTAGGGTCCGTTTGATTGCAAAGGTGGAAAAGGCAAATCAATCCCATGTAAGTTGGACAAAAAAAAATCACCAAAGCCATAGGAATTCGATTTCCTCTCAATTGGCCAAAAACACGATTTACGTGTTTGTACCTTGGAATTCAAACCCCATTTTCATTTTCGTATCAAACAGTCAAAGTAGAAAACGTATTCCTTGGATGTGACATTTTTCATGGAATTTAATGTTATCAAATGGATCCTTAGTTTAATTTTGAACTTGGAAGACAATGCAACCTCTAAACTTATTGTGTACTTAATCCTCATAACTTAATCTAAAACATATAGTTTGATTAGATTTTTCACTTAACACTTGACCTATTGTTTGAACCATCAACCCACTGGTCGAACTAGTTTCCGCCGATCTAGTGCATTGTCCGGGTCACCGTCTAGATCGGTTCTGCGAACTATGGTTATGTTAACCTACAATTTGGACTTTTTCATGAGCAACTTGTTGGATTCATTCATTTGAATCTAAAATGATCTAGTATTAAAATTAATTTATGGACTTATGAAAGAATATAAGAAGTGCAAAATTATGTTTTTCAGCAATAACACCCAGGGGGCTATTACTTTTGTGATATTCTTCAGTCTATTTTTGTTGTATGATGGTCTTTTACCGTGGTTCCATTCACTCAATTCTGGCACAAGTATTTGGGTTTCATGGTTTGACCTTTTAGGTTATTACTTAAACCGAAGGTCTGTTAATGGGTATTATTTATTTTACAGTATAAGGAGGCGTGCCCTTGATTTGCTATATGGCATGTGCGATGTCTCTAATGCTAAGGACATAGTTGAAGAAATATTGCAGGTGCATAATAATTGGCCAAGCAATCTACAATTCCACTTGAAAAATTATGTAGGTTACTCTTGTAAACCAAGAAAGTAACCTTGTGACTGACTTTCATCTGTTTCTAGTATCTTAGCTCTGCAGACTTTGCAATGCGTGAAGAATTGTCACTTAAAGCTGCAATTCTTGCAGAGAAGTTTGCTCCTGATTTGTCATGGTATGGACTATCTTAAAACTAACATATTGTTTTTACTTGATGCTTGTTTGATAGAACTTCTCTAAAATTTTTATCAACTTTTCAACCACATATTTCATCAACTTGTATTAAAATTTGACGAAACTTTGATTAGAAGCTTTGTCACAATACCCCTTAATTTAGTTGGCAAACAAGGCACACTAAAATGTTAATACACTAGGAAATAATCATGTTAGTTTACATGAAAGATGCTCATCTTATCGACACTTCATCTTTTTGACAACCCAACACTTAATACCATAAAGTATAGCAGATTTAAAATATGTTTAGGAGAATTAAAAAAAGATTATGTTTTTATCCAAAAAAAAAAAAAAAAAAAAAAAAAAACATGTTTTTATCCCCAAAAAAATAAAAAATAAAAAAATTCCACGGAAATCAAAACAAAATAACTGACTTTTGTGCGACAACATCATTAATTGGAGTGCTGTCAAATTTCTCAAATTGAAGCAGAATTGCAATCTTTTATTTCTGCTGGCTCCATTAGTTTGTAATGATAAAATTTTAAGTACGTCCCACGTATCAATTTTGAAGCCTATTTACTGCATGATAAGTTGGCCTTTCAAGAAAATCATGTCTTCACCATAATTCGTATTAATAACTTAAGGTCATTTCGTTGAATCCACTTTCTTTTCTCTACTTTCTCATTTCTTAAAATTTTCTTTTCGTTAAATAGCAGTTAGAGTTTTTACTTAGTTTATAAGATATTTGTTCATCTTGCACAATTAGATTCATATATACTGAAGGAGATTTGCTGTTGAATCAGTATATTCTAATCGGCTTTGGTTGGCAAAATGGATTGAGATGTAACTCCCAGTATTGCTACTTCAAGTTATTTATAAGTTTTTCTCGTCTGCATCGTGCAGGTATGTAGATGTGATCCTTCAGTTGATTGACAAGGCAGGAGACTTTGTCAGTGATGACATTTGGTTCCGTGTTGTGCAATTTGTTACAAACAATGAGGATCTACAGGTAGCTGAAACTGTTTTTATTGTCATAGTGAGCTTTTTTAGGAAGTTTGATTCTAGCAATACTCATCTTCTTTTTATATCGCGCCAGACTTATGCAGCCCTAAAAGCTAGAGAATATGTTGATAAGCCGGCTATTCATGAGACCATGGTTAAGGTATGTTTGCCTTGCCTTACCTTTGATCTTATTTTCTGTGTTCCTATTATGGTACGATGTTGGTGAATATGTTCATGCCCATCATTGTCGTAGTAGAGCTAAAAGGTTTAATTGTTATTTGGGCGTTGAATGGTAAAAAGTTCACATTAGTTATGTAATCCAACTCCAGTTGTCAGTACATTCTTTGAGTTGATATGAATGCTAAATCACCTGTTACTACTTTGTTAGCACCTATCTTCTTGTTATGAATTCAGTTTTGTCAATGTGTCGTCGTCATAGATCTCATGATTGGTAGGCTGATGGAGTTAGTTGAGGTACACAAACTAATGGAACTGGCGACACTAAGATGTGGTTGAATAAGTGTTAAAGTTACATTGAGCTGTGTCTCTTTTAGTATTTTAGATACAATCTCCAGATAATGAACTCACGTGTGATGTTCTGAATTTCATTTCTTGAACCTTTGAATTAATTTCTACTGAGAATTTATCTTAATGCTATGTATGGGACAGTTGAGTGCATATATCCTTGGTGAATATAGCCATCTTCTGGCAAGGCGGCCTGGGTGCAGTCCAAAGGAAATTTTCAGCATCTTACACGAGAAATTTCCTACTGTTTCGTAAGTGTACTTGCTTTTTTCTTGTCATTGTTTTCTCATTCTCGTCATCAGGCATAATGCAATTAAGACTGGTGCAGGACTTCAACGATCCCTATCCTTCTCTCGACATATGCTAAGATTTTGATGCACACTCAACCACCAGATCCTGAGCTACAGAATCAAATTTGGGCAGTATTTGGCAAGTATGAATTTATATCGAATGATTTGTTGATTATTTTTATAACTTTGAAAAAGGATCTTCCTATTGTAAAAGAATGCCTTGACAAATTATACATATTTCCAGATTCGAGAGTTGTATTGATGCTGAGATACAGCAACGGGCTGTTGAATACCGTGCATTGAGTAGGAAAGGTGCAGCTCTAGTGGATATTCTTGCGGAAATGCCAAAGTTCCCTGAGCGACAGGTAGGTGTATACAACTTGCAATATTGGTATAGTAGTAGTTCTTCCGTTATTTTTGTTTATACACTTGCTGCAGGACATTTATGTGTCAAACCACTTAGAAGAGTAGCTTCACATAGTGCAGCCAATGCTAACTTTGACAAATCTTTTTTATTTTAGTCAGCATTAATCAAAAAAGCTGAGGATTCTGAAGCTGATACAGCAGAACAAAGTGCAATCAAATTGCGGGCAGCACAACAGCAGACTTCTAATGCTTTGGTAGTGACTGACCAGCGCCCTGCGAATGGGACTCCACCTGTGGGCCAGCTTAGTCTAGTAAAGTTACCTAGTGTGAGCAATGCGGTGAGATGTCTTCATGTGCATTCTGATAAGCCATGTTAATCGATATTGAGATCTGGTTGTTTAACCACAACCGAGTATTAATTAACAGTTGTATTTGTGGACAGGATCAGAACACTGCTGAGCAAGGGGAGACTCAGTCAAATGGGGCTCTGACTATCATGGATCCTCAACCACCTAGTAGTGCACCTTCAGCTGATCTTCTTGGAGATCTTTTGGGCCCACTGGCTATTGAAGGCCTTCCTGGTGCTGCTGCCCAGCCTGAGCCAAACTTGGTCTCTGGTTTGGAAGGTGGTTCAAATGCAGCAGACGCTTTAGCCATTGCACCTGTTGAAGAGCAATCAAATATTGTCCAGGTACCACTTTCTTCTGCTTGCACGTGTGTACATCCTGTGTAAACTTTCTTCTGGTTATTCATGTGCTAACCAAATGCTATTCTGGTCTTGATCATTGGGTTTTCTTGATTACTTGATATTTGCAACTACTGAGCCTCTTATATGGGATTCAAGTCTTTTTGTGGAACATGTAAAGTGATCCTTTTACAGAGGAATAAATAGTGGTTGCTAGTATCAAGTATTGTAGCAGGAAAGTATCTGACAAATTAGCATCTGTATGCTTTGGGTCCATAAATTTCGAATAAAGAAAACGTCTTCAATCAGTTTTGAAATATTGTCTTTCCACCAAGGAACCTAGGCTGCATAAGTTTGCGGACTCAGTGGACTTGCAGACATATTTAAAATTTTGAAATAAAATTAGACAATTATACACACATGAAGTAATTGAATATTACTGAGACACCCCTCCTAGAAAAAAAATTACGGAAACCTTCTTTGAGGTTTGCTTGCATAACAAATTTTCCCGTCAACCAAAAACAATTTTTTGTTTCCAATTTCTCCCTTGTGTTTAAAAGATAATTGAAATTTCAAACTATTATTAAATGACATTTACGTTATCTTATTTTCTCGCTCTCTCTCTCTCTTTTTTTTTTTTTGTAATTTCAATAAAAGAAATAGTTAAATTTATGTAGTAATGTTCAAATGAATGAATGATTGTATTTCTTAACAAAATATGAAGTTTTTCATATATGATTGAAAACAACTTGTTTGCAAATAATTAACAAATGGACACAAATAAATGTTAAACAATTTGTAATTATAAACAATCCAGATAATTTGAAATTTTATGATAATATGCTGTGAATTAAATTTTTTTTTATTATTCTTATACTTAAAGGGATACAAAAGTTAATGTTGACAAATAATATTGAGGTGTAATTATGTGTGAAAGGAGGAAAGGAAAAGGAAAAAAAAACTTTCTTTAAGCTAAAAATAATTTTCTTATTAGAAAGTCTAGTTTAAAATATATCATAAGACAGAGTAAAATAAGAAATGGACGCATGTTTTTGCCTATGACAGAGGTTTTGGTAAGTATTGAAAAGGAAGGGGATATAGTCATTTATCTCAGACGGTGTAAATGTAATTTTCTCGTAAATTATGCTCAATTGTTGACTCTGCATCTTCTAGGTGTACTGGGATAAAGTTGGTTCTTCTACTAAATTTCACTATCTCAAAATCACTAATTTTGTATAAGTTTCTTTATTTTGGATGATGAAATTTCATGGAGTCGCACCTAAATTCTGTCATGAAACCCCTAGATACAGTTTTTACTGGAAACTAAGTAGTCGTATAATTTTTACTTAGTGCATACCGTGGCTTGTTCAAAATATTATATTTGGAGCAAGTCCTGATGTGAAAGTTATTCTTCTGAGTTGCAAGTCTATCAAACACAGTTGACAATTTAAAGTTCATAGAAGAGGGATTCATAAAGAACTTTGCTCTGACCTGACCCACTTCTCCATCATGCTTTTATACTTCTGACTTTTTGAATTCTACGACTCTTACAGCCACTTGGTAACATTGCTGAAAGGTTTCATGCTTTATGCCTTAAGGATAGTGGTGTGCTATATGAGGACCCTTATATTCAGGTGCAGAATCTTTTCATACTATTTTTGCTTAATTCTTATGCAACAGCATACATTTATCTAAACTTCCAAGCAATATAAGCTGATAATGATTTTCCCCATCTGATAACTGTTTTCTTTTGTAACATACTTTTCCAGATTGGCATTAAAGCAGAATGGCGAGCACAGCATGGACGCCTCATTCTTTTCTTGGGAAATAAGAATATTGCTCCACTCCTTTCAGTTCAATCTTTGATATTGCCCCCGTCACATTTAAAAATTGAACTCTCACTAGTGCCTGAGACTATTCCGCCGAGGGCACAGGTCTGATTTGTCTTTCATTCTAAAAGTAATCTTGTCTTCTTTATTTGTCTTTAATTATAAGGTAATTTCTTTGTCAAAATTAACTCTTTCGCTGGATTAGGTGCAATGCCCACTTGAAGTAATCAACCTCCGGCCAAGTAGAGACGTAGCTGTTCTTGATTTCTCATATAAGTTTGGAACTCATGTGGTATTGTTCCCATGGAGTTTATGCTAGTTTTGACAATGAAATTGAAAACAAAAAATAGAAGCTGTTTGTTTATATTTGCTAATATACAGACATTTGCATCATCAGGTCAATCCTAAACTGCGCCTTCCTGCTGTGTTGAACAAGTTTCTACAGCCTATTCAGGTGTCTCCTGAAGAGTTTTTTCCACAGTGGAGATCACTCTCAGGGCCACCATTGAAGCTCCAAGAAGTTGTATGTGCCTTCTGGGAAATTTTTTTTTCAACTTCACATATATAATCTAGAAGAATACATATCTAACCTTGTTATATAAATGAACCAGGTTAGAGGTGTAAGACCAATGCCACTAGTGGAAATGGCAAACTTATTTAACAGTTTACGGTTGACGGTTTGCCCTGGGCTTGTAAGTCTGATCATATTCAGTTTCAGTTCACTCCATGCTTATAGTTTTGACCTCTATATAATCAGGGAATTTATTCTTTGATTTCCTGTCCAGGATCCCAATCCCAATAATATGGTTGCTAGCACAACATTCTATTCTGAAAGTACACGAGCCATGTTATGTTTGGTAAGCTGGTTTTAGAAAGTCTTTTTACTGTGCGTTTGTTTTTAATGTTACATAGGAATTTTACAGTGAACCCCATGATATGGGCATTCAATGAAAAGATTGCCTGGACCCTTGCTCTTAGAACTTGATTTTGACTCGGAGCATAACCTGTCTATTCATCAAATGAAACTGGCCGTTATGGGAAAATGCATATTCCAGGGAATGCTTAGAGAATTGTAATTTGTCATCTTTATCTATATTTGGTAATTTGCTCGAGGGAAAATTGCCCCAGCGTTGAAAAAAAAGTCGGTTCTCTCTTTGATTATAGGTATACAATCACCAATAGAAATCGTCCAAATCTCCATTGAATCATAACATTACCCTTGCATTCTCAAGTTGGGCTAATGACAGAGAAATCTGCGAGGCATGTTTCCATGAGGGTTACACGTCCATCTAATGGAAATTTTGACCTTCTCTGTTATTGGTGATTGATTATGCAACTATCTTTAAAGATTGAGGACCATCTTTATCATTTTTAAAAGTTGGGTACCAGTTTGCTACTTGGGCAACAGATTCAGGATCAGTTCTGCAAATTTTCTTTGCTAAGCTGCTTGTTTGGAGCCATCGTTTAGAAAATTTTAAAAATACTTGAATAATTTTTTTTTTTTTAAGTGGATGAGAAGTTATTGATTTCGCCTGTGAAATTCATTCATTAAGGTTTAAGACTCCATTAGCACTGCTAAATGACAGCTTTCTGATCAGAAATTTATTTTCTCGTGATCAGATAAGAATAGAAACAGATCCAGCAGATAGAACTCAGCTGCGTATGACCGTTGCATCAGGAGATCCTGCACTGACTTTTGAGTATGTTCCAATTTGTTTAGTCCGTAACAAAAATGTTAATGACATCTGTTTGCAGCTCATAATTAATTGTTGCAAGCATCTTCTTATGCGCAGATTGAAGGAGTTCATTAAAGAGCAATTAGTTAGCATACCAGTTCCTTCTCGAGCGCCTGCACCTGTGTCTCCACCAGCTCAGCCAGTCAGTCCACCGACTGCCACATCAGATCCTGGGGATATCCTTGCTGGTTTACTGTAAATTTAATACATAATGAAGACCATTCACAGCAAAATTTGTGACAATGTTTATACAGTGAGCCCGCTTCCCATCCATACATCCTTGAAGAATAATGCGGCATCCTTTCAAGGAGGGATCTTCGCGTTCCTAATCTGGTAGGGCAGGATGGCTCACTTTTACCCGCCTCCATTTCGTTGATGGGACGAGGGTGGCTGACCCAAGAAATCAGTATGTTAATTCACAAGTAGCAAGGGTCAAATTGTATGTAAACTGGCTTAGCATTAGAGATCGATTTTGGAGGTTGTTGGAGTTTTGATTATTCTTTTGCTCAATTAATTATGCCTTTTTGAGGTTTCTCTTCTTCCTTTTTCTTTTGGTTTTTCCGGTGAGGGTCTATAATTGTTTCTTCGTAAGTTGATTGTCTTGTTTTCATGAGTCAGGATTACTCCATTGGTTTTTGTAATAGAATAGCACACGATAAACTACAGGGAGCGGCACTGATTGTAAGTATTGTCATTTGTTTGTCAATCGATATGTTTTTATAATAGAATTTCTTGTCGTTTTTCAAAAACGCACCCTGCCTATTTTGAGGCTATAAGAGCCAATATCAATGGCGAGGCGTGTTTGTGAACATCATGTAAGAAGAGCTTAATCAGCCATGTCGTAATTTGTTGTCGAGTCGAGCATAAATTTTTGGAGTAGCATTTGCGGAAACTGCTACCTTAATATCACTGCTGCTTTGTGAAATATATCTTTATTTTGTGTTGTATCCAAATTTCGTCGAGTTTGTTCGGTCAATACATATTCCACGTTAACAATGGAGAATAAGGAAACAACAAAATTTCATAAAAGCAGATGCTTATCTCAAATAGATAGACTATTTAATCTGAAAGATGTTATGTCTCTTTTGAGAAGGCCCCAGATTACCTTCACGTGGTAGTCAACTAGCAAGTTAACCAGTTTCACGCTCTACATCATCTTCTACCTAGTCGAGGTAAAGGTCATATACAAGATCGTTGAGGTAATGCATCCATTCAGTTAAAGTGCTATGTGGAGGTTGATTTCCATGGCCTAGACGTAGTGTCACGCATGTCGCAGGGAAGAAGTGTAGGGCAGCTGGCCTCCACATTAATAAACAGTATCTCCCACTCTACATTTTTCCAAGAGATCTTCCGTACAAGAAACTTTTGCAATTGATTGATATGACGTCTTTGTAGCAAGCTCTTAAAAGGTCAAATCGTCAATCTGCTATTTATAGGTCAGACTTAGGCGCTAAGGTGACAACTTTTTAGAAACAATAAATACTATTGAAGCCTTTCAATATATTCACTTTACTCTCTTGGATCTGACCCCTTAATACTTAGTGACTCACGTATAGTATTTTTCACATCCATTCACTAATACATATTGATTGATGTGATCGTTGGAGTGTACGCAGTCGCATCCCTCACTTCACAAAAGGTTAAGTGTGAACAACGATTTGTGCAAGTATGCGGGACAAAGGCTTACGCAAATATGAGAGGACCTATGATTTATAGATTACATTACCCTTACAAGGTCAACACAAAAAAAGAATAATAATAATAATAATAAAATAGTGGCATAAAATAACATTATTTCATTTCTTTTTGGTGTAACGATTCAAGATTGAGATTAAGCAATCGAGTGAGAAATCAATATAATAAATAAACTGAAATATATAAGTCAAAAATAAAATAAAATAAGATTTCTGTGGTGGCTGTGGGGTTTGAACCCACGCGCACTTACGTGCAGAAGATCTTAAGTCTTCCCCCTTAGACCTCTCGGGCAAACCACCTCAATAATTTGAGTTTTCATAATTTTTAAATCTACTTTATGTTTAATTCACGTTATGTCACACCTTCCCAATGCTAAAAAAATGGTAAAATTGCTATTTGTATATTAATAATAATAAGTAACTAAGGTTCCATTTGATAACATCCAATTCCATGAAAAATGTTTCATTCGAGAAATTCATTTTTTATTTTAACTGTTTGAAACGAAAGTGGAATTGAAGTTTGAATTACAAGGTACAAACACTTAGGACCTGTTTGATACCTCTATTTCCACCCAAAAAATGCATGTTTGATGGCAAAAAAATTTCATGGAATTGGTTTTCTTGGTACAACCCATTTATGCATAATTTTCCACATTTTTAAGGAAAATGTTTTTCCATGGGTTTGATGGTTTTTCGTTTTTCAGCATTTTTTTTAGCAATTGAAACAAATTCTATTCCTTTAATTGACAATTTTTATGAAAAACAAAGCCAAACGAACACAAAAAGATCCAAAATTTCAATATTTTATAGGTGAAAAATTATACCAATCAAATACATTTAATTGACAATTTTCAATATAACAAGTTCTAGGAAATTCAATTCTCTGGAATTCGTTTTCTTTCCACACAAATTTCATTATTGCAATCAAATGGACCCTTAAAGCATGTTTTTGACTAATTCCATGGAAATCGAATTCTTATAGTTTTGGTGATTTTTCCTTTTCCAACTTATATGGAATTCGTTTGCATTTTCTACCTTTGCAATCAAACGGACCCTTATAGAGTTTTTGATTGATATGAAAAATATCACCTAAAAAAGAATTTTTTTTTTATTTTGAGGAAAATAAAAACCTACTCAAAAGAAAATATTTTTCTTAAAAACAAGGAAAATTAGACATTTTCAAAAGTTGGAATATATTTTCAATGAAAAAGAAATGGCAATCAAACACTCAAAAGTAGAATTTTTGGTGAAAAACTGATATTTGATCATAATGCTCTGTTTTGTTAATTGATAAAAATAATTTATTTTGAAATTTAAAACTGTTTTAGATTAGGCGAAACACGTCCTGAAATAAAACGCAGGCCTTATAAGCAGAAATGTTGGACGGAGAAGTGAGAACGATCTAAACAGTATACACTCTCTTCTCTCTTTCCCCAATTTCCGTAACCCTAATAACATAATTACATTCCAAAAATCAGTTTTTATCAACATCAATGGCGGATCATTTGACATCGATATTTGGGACGGGGGTACTTTTAAAAATGGAATAGTCAAAGAAGGGAAATTCCATTTTGACTTGTTCAATTGTTAATATTATCACAATGGCCTATTAAGTGATAACAGACAAAAATACCCTTAAGTGTATCATACAATTATAAAAGATTGTTTTGTTTAAAAGACATTATTACCCTTTAGTTAACAAATAAAAATCTAACTCTTCCCACTTAAAATATCAAAATCAGCAAACTTCTCATATTTGTTTATTCCAATACAAAAAAAAAAAAAAAACTTTTATCTTTTATCTGCTTCAATCTCAAGATCTGAAAAATTCATCGAACGCGGTAGCTGAAATTTTTTTTATATCAATTTCATCAGACCAATAATTTTATAATACGCATATTTAATTTTATTTTCGTCAAATTATTTTACGTTTTAATAGATAAAATTTATTTCGATATATAATGTTAATGTAGATAGTTTTTTTTATAGATTTGTGAAAAATTTAAGCATTTGACGAGAAAAAAGTCATTTGCATATACTGAAAAATTAATCAGCAAAAGTTTGGTGGATTTATTCTGCCGGACAGCTAGATTTGAACTGCCGACTGTCCAGTCAACTGTTGAAAAAAGTCGGCTGAACAGTTGGCTAACAACCGGATGGACAGCGGGTATTATTAGCTGGCTGGACAGTCAAAAAATAACAGTCGGCAGCCGGCAGGAACAACCGACTATTTTTCAAAAGACTGTTTGAAACGAAAAAAGATTTGCAAGACGATGTGCACCTAATTGCGCTGAAACACAACTTTGAGTTTAAAGTGAAAAAATCAAAGAAGTCGTTGACAATCGCCTACGTAGTGTCACAGTTGAGGACCTTGAATGTCGAGCAACTGTTTAAATTACGACGTCCTTTGAAATATTGTAAAATAAATGCAAATACTGTTTATTTCAGATGGACAACATTACAAAATGATCTAATTGTCATTTAAAGGAACATGACTTGTACAATATTGGCCAGTATGCCCTGCTGATTTATATCAATCGCACCTACGCGGTCGAGGGAATTCTCTGATAGATAATATTCTAAAAGTACTTGGACGTCCAAGACTACGCGGTTCAATGAGAGATGTCGACAATGTTTTTAGTGGGGAATATGGTCGGGGACGGCAGAGGAAATATTGTCTCAGTGTACGCAGCTCTCCAATAATCAGTCGTGTAATAATGAGAGCACAACGTTTTAGCTACAAATTCTCGATACATAGCAACCACGATTGCATGCTCACATGGAAAAGTCTCTCACTGAAATTTTTTACAAGTGTACATGTTATAATTAAGTCCACCACGTATACCGTATTACGTGCACATTCTACTGAGAAGCGCGACTCGTCTAATGGTTCGACATTCAACTGTCTCGCAAATTCAGTAGCTTTGAATAGTCTTTCCTCTTACGTCGAGGGTAGCACATTCGTGCAATTTTGTGATTCCGAACGTCGATCGTGAAACCATTGTTGTAACTTGGTACGAATATTCTCAATTAGTACAATGATGGGTAATTCTCGATCCTTCTTGAATAATACATTGAGAGACTCCGCGTTGTTTGATGACATCATGTTGTATCGACGTCCTAAAAAAAGAGCGCGCCCAAAGTTCAATACCCATTGTCGTTAGATAATCCCATGCATCGAATGATTTACTTCTTATTTCAACAATGAACTTATTACACTCTTCAACACTGCTCTCCTAAACAATGAAACGATACTTTTACCCCGATACTTGGTCTTCAGATTGCCTTGAATATGGTACATGCAATACCCACAATGTGCATTTGGAAAAATTTCAGCGATGCCATTTATTAAATGTTGTCCTCGATCGGTTACAAATGCAAGGTTCTCGACTTCTCCGATTACTTCCCTTAACTTTGTGAAGAACCACCGCATCGAGATGTCATTCTTACTATCGACTATGCCGAATGCAAGAGGGTAAATTTGGATGTTGCCATCTTGACATGTAGCAATAATCAACTTGCCTTGATATTTAGATTTTAGTGTTGTACAATTAACTAGAATTAGGGGTCGCATTGCATTTCGAAATCCCCGAATGCACTGTCCGAGAGCCATGAAGAAGAATTTGAAGCAATTTCCACCCTCCGTCTCAATAAAAAATTTCGAGCCAGGATTAGTTTTCTCTATATTATAGCAATATCTGGCTAATTTAGCATAGCTTTCCTCTGCAGCGCTCATTAGATCCTCAAACGCACATTCTTTGTCCTTCCAAGCGTTTTGGTACCTCAAGACTACTCCGTACTCTCGACGGACGTCGTTAATGATGTCCGATGGTTTGTAGATCGTACGTAGATCCTGATACTTGTGCATTATTGGTCGACCAATAAACCAAGCTCGGGCTTGCTTTTGATCATTTCGACGTAATCCCACTTCACAAGTATGTTCCTGTGTATACTTGTGAAGTACAAAGCACTCATTTGTGTTCATTTTCGTCGCTTGCAAACGCCAACAGCAACTGTCGTCTACGCAGGCAATTGTCAATGACTTCTTCGATTTT